AAAAAAAACTTTAATGGATCATAAGAAAATATAAAAGGTGATCTGCAACTCTATAGTGCTGTGTCAGCCACTGTAAGGATTATATGGATGTCTTTGATGAATCACAGCATCATAGAGTGGTTTGGGTTGGAAGAGACCTTAAACATCATCTAGTTCCACCCGCCAGCCACAGGCAGGGACACTTTCCACTAGACCAGGTTGCTCCAAGCCCCATCCAGCCTGGCCTTGAATACTGCCAGGGATGGAGCATCCACAGATTCTCTGGGCAATCTGTGCCAGTGCCTCACCACTCAAAGAATTATTTCCTCATAGCTAAATCTACCCTTCTCCAGTTTAAAGCCATTTCCCCTTGTCCTATCGTTACCTGCCTTTGTTAAAAGCCCCCCTCCAGCTTTCCCGTAGGCCTCTTTAGGTACTGGAAGCTGCTGAAAGGTCCTCTGGAGCCTTCTCTTCTCCAGGCTGAAGAAGACCATCTCTCTCAGGCTGTCTAGGTAAGAGAGGTGCTCCAGCCCTTTGATCATCTTGGACTTCCTCAGGACTGACTCCAACAGGTCCAAAACTAATAGAAACATTGTACCCAAATCTTTCACTGACTCTACTGCTTTGAAAATTGTACAAGAAACAAAAACTGTGGCGAATCATGCTCAGGAGCATGTAAATTCCACAAAATCTTATAGACAGATTATTTTAGCCCTTATCATAAGAATAGGGGCATTAAAATACCTATGTTGGGTACTACATGCCTTTTCAAGTTGGTGTGCCATCTAACAAACCAACCAACTTGACCTTTAAGGGCAATGAATTTTGAAACCTCACTGTCTGAAAACGGCACTGTCAAAGCCCAGCATCAGTAGCTCTGTCAGTGCAACATCTCACTGCATTTTTGGTGCAGTTTAAGAGCTTCTGCATTGAAAAGGCCGCGAGTACTTGTTAATGTTACAAGATGTGAAAACCAGAAACTTTCTCTCCTGTATTTCCCTGCAGAATAACTTTCTGTTTAATCCACTTGTGTGCTCTATAGAACCTATATATATACAGCATGTTTCCCATGCTAATTCTGTTAAGAATCAATATTGGATGTTTGTTCCTTTGCTTTAGGCCCTTCTTACGAGAATACCTGACTTATCTGTAATATTACACATGCCCAGCAAGGGATCAGTTAACTATTACTATATTGGGCAATACTGCAATTCACTTTGAATAGTACCTTCTGTTGCAATGAACCTCAGTGAATCACTGTGATTATTCATACAGGAATATGCAAAAGCAGAAGTATAAAAATCTGTTCTGTGTTCTCCTGATCATGCAGGGTCAGATTACATGCAGTTCTAATGTTTCAGCCTTGCTCTGGGAAAACTGCCTAAATTGACCTTTAGGAAGTTGGTTTTTTGGGAATATTCACTGCAAGTAAAAATCACATTTGACTCTCTGTTAAGGCCTGGGTTTTTAATGGGGTTTTTGTGAATTGCATCTCCAGACAGAGCAGGTACCCCTGCTCACAAAAGCATTTCTGCTAGCTATGATACTCAAATGACTCGTCCAGCATGTGTGAAGGTTACACATGCAGTACCCCTGTGCACAATTCTTCTCAATGGCATGGTAATTCTGTAATTCAGAGCACTTCTGAAAGGTTTACTTTCCATTTACATTTTGTTTTGCTTGGATAGGCTTCCAAATGCTTTTAAAAATTGTCTTTTTTAAAGAAATTATGATTAAAATTCCTCTACTGAAAATAATTAAGTGATAGCAATTTAGTAATTTTCAGTCTGGGAAATACCATTGCCAATTAAGATTTGTGTTTTCTTTACTAATATAAGTCAGCAGAGTAAAGAGACTGAAATAAGTGGTAACAGGTTCCCCAAATGAGTTATTTTACTAGTTTGTAATCCTACTACTAGCTAATATTTGTAAATATGTTCAGTAGGAAGCAGAAAAAGTTCTTGATTCTAATTAATTTTCTACAGCTATTGAAAGTAATGGATGATCAAAAACTACATTGCAAAAATACTTGTGGTTTTTATTTCAGCATCTGAATAATTAGATCAGGAGGAAGGGAAGGCAGTGAAGATGATCTAGCAATTAGAACCGTTCTCTCTGCCACGAGTAGCTTCATGCAAAGTGGGACTTAGGTTGCGAGGGCAGTTGAGTAGAACTGTATGACACATTAAAAATGGTGCAAAGAAGGTGAAGTGGAACAACTATTGCAAATTATAAGATTATTAACCAGTGGCCTAAACCCAAAAAAAAACAAAGCATTTTCTTCTATGACACAAGACTCTACCTAAATAAATCCTATATACCTAACGTTTTATAGTATAACTCAAAATTAGCCAAGTTCATCAGTCCATCAAGAGCTATTAAATATATTGGCTGAATTAAGGACTTCCAGGTAAGGATGCTGTAAACCGTTTATGTCTAAAAACTACAAGGATATGCCATGGAAACAACTACTCTGTAGTGTTTGTTTCTAGTATCCTTTTCCCAGGCATCCATTACGAGTCTGAGTTAGATAGACTGTTGGTCTAACTGAACGGAGCAGGGTAAATTTCTGCTTTCATGCACCCTATGCCATGTCTAGTCCTGCATACTGAAAGCACATTCTCCTAAGAAGGAGATAAATTGGTCAAAACTGACTTTGTCACTTTATATTTTACAGTTTCTTCTGCTGCTTTGTCTTGTTCATTAAGATGGACGTATTGTTCATCAAAGATCTGATCCAAATCCTTCTGAAGGAACATTTTTTTTTAAACTAAGTTGATTTAATTCCTTTGTTGAGATCTATTTATGAGATCTACAGAGTGTTAAATTTCCTTCTTGGGATCTGATCTGTTGAATCCAAATCGGCCATTACGTTCTCATAAGTAGAGTGTATATTTTAAAGTGCAACTTAGCAGGTCTGTAAAATAGAGGGTGTTTTCTCTTATGAAAATATTACAGTGCTACTGGGAAGTAGATACATAATTTTGTTTTGCCTATAAAAGTGCTATTTATCTAACCAAAATGTTCACAGCAAGAAAAATAAATATGCAATATGTGATATTTGCAAGATACACAGAGTTTTATTACATGTGATTACTGCAACTCTAATGCTAAAAAAAAAGGAACAATAAAAAAAGGGGGGAGGAGAAATCATTGTTGTAACAGTTTCTTTCAGAGATGACACAAGATCATCACGTGAACTTTTACAATAGGAAGCAAATTACTTCAGAGCTAAAAACACGTAAGCCCTGCAATATTTCTAAGTGTAAAGTACAACTTCTGGGCTTCTAACAATGTCAACCCATTTTATTTCATATGCCTCAGAAACCACAGTGTCAGGTGCCTCATCCTGTGGCTAAGAGAAGCTTGGCACTCAACTGCAGTTTTCTCCTATTTGCCTGCCTCTGTCAAAATGTTTAGAATCAAAACATTAGGAAGTTAGATTTAGCTGTGTTGCCATATTAAGATGCAAACTGAACAGCCTCATAAAAAATAAAGAAATACAAGCATACAGGGAGGTTGTGAAGCTACACTCAGAGAGATGGTTTAAATTCACAGTTTTCATATGCTTTCCACTGCCAAAGAAGACTAAAAAAAAAAAAAGATATAAAATCTGTACATCTCCAGATGTTTTGCCATCCCTACCACGAGCTACTACCATTCACCGTGAGACAGTAGTTGGCAGGAACAGCAAACCAAGCTGAGCTTTATTATGCTAGCTTTCAAAGGTGAATTTCCCCTCTCCGGAGCTTTTCGATCACTTTTGATCAGGTGAGACAGAAGAAGAGGCTGAGAATCTGTCTTCCCTGTTGTCTTGGTTGTTCTCCCTGTTCACAAATGTAGCTTTTAAAACATAAAACGTTCATTGTATATGTCTATGTCATTTTTATGCTACTAAAAGTGTGTTGATAGTGAAGCAGACTGAGAATTTAACTAGTTGCCACTATTTCCCAGTTCGATGAGATTTTGCATCACCAAATAAAGACAATGATAGCTATGAAACAAAGATTCCACCATCTCACTGTATTTTAGGACATTTCTCAAGGGTCTTGCTCACTTTGGTTTTTCTTTCTTCCCTTTTTTTGATAGACTACTTTCAAGCTCCCTCTAGTTCTGCAGTTTGTGCTCTCAGTCTTCTCTGTTCCTGTTTATTTGATCTTATCTCACTGCTTTGAAAAAGGCTGTATAAATGCTAGATAATGGCTCACCTAGCCAAAGAAAACTCTTGGTTCAGAGCTGTTCTATCCATTCTCTCATTAAACATGATCAGTGTAGATGGCACAGCAAGGGCTGCTCCACAGGTGTCAAGGCAGAATGACTCAGCTGCAGTAGATGACCCTTGCTTCTGAGAAAACAAGCAAAATTATAGAATCATAGAACACTTTGGGCTGCAAGGGACCTTAAAACTCATCTAGCTCAAACTCCCCTGCTCTGGGCAGACACCTTCCAGCAGACCAGGTTGCTCAGGGCCCCATCCAACCTGGCCTTGGACGCTTCCAGGGTTGGGACATCCACAACTTCTCTGGGCAACCTGTTCCAGTGCCTCACAACCCTCACGGGGAACAACTTCTTAGTATCTAATGTAAATCTACCTTATTTCAGTTTAAAGCCATCCCCCCTTGCCCTATCACTGCTTGATACTATAAAAAGTCCCTTGCGTACACTTGCTCTTATTAAAAGGCCGGGTTCACTATGCTTTTACGCAGCCCAGGGGCAGCTTGCCGCCGTTGCGAGCAGCAGTGACTCCAGGTTCCCAGTGGTCCGGAGGGTCCCACCACCGAGTAGATTACTGCCACCCCTCCGCAGGCGAGCCCAGCACCGGTAAGCGTTTGCAAGGAAGACGAAGTAAAGCTCCATTCCGCCTCCTGGCGGCCCTGGCTCCTGCCCGTTCCCCACAAGGCGGCAGCCGTTAGCCGGCACCTCAGACCTCCGCGCAGCGAAACCTTGAGGCTCGATGTCTGAGCTGTCAGACGGCATGGGGAAGGGAGACACCCCTTCACACCACCTCCCGGTACCAGGCCGCAGGGCGAGAACGCCCTCCCGGCCGCTCGCAGGGGGAAGGCAGCCGGCAGGGGTGGCGAGCGGCTGGCCGAGCGGCTCGATGGGGCCGGCCTGCGGGCGGGGCGGGGCCGCAGCTCGCTCGTGGCCTCGGAGATGGATTCTTGGCCGCTCGCGCAAGCCACCATCTTAGAGGGCGGGCAGTCCAGTCGGGGAGGGAAGGAAAGCAAAGCGAATCGGATCGGGTGGTGCCGTCGGAGGATGCAGCTCTGGGCCCCTTCGCGGCCTCAGGTACCTCTGCTGTCGCTGGGACGAGGCTGCGGTGAGCCCCAAGCGGCTGTGCGCGGCAGGAGGCGGGCTGAGGTTCTGCGGCTGCTGCTGTCGCAGTCGTGCCGTGCCTGTCAGCTGTCGCCGGGGGTGTCGCTGGCAAAAGGCCTCAATCTCCCCGGCCCACCGGGCTGATGGGGACGAAACCGGGCCCTGCCTCGCCTCGCATGGGAGGGGAACTTTGCCCCCTCACGTCTCTCACGGGCGGCCCGGGCCGAGCAGGGGAGTGCCGCGGCCGTGCGCCCGGGTGTGTGACCCTTTTCCCACCGGCCGTTCCCGGCGTCCAGCGGTGGTCGGAGGCGGCGTGTATCGCCCTCTCGCCTTCGGCTGACAGACCTCGGCCTCGTCCCACTCTCGTCTGTGTCAGCGGCGTTAGAGAAGCACTTTCCTTGCTTCAGGCGAGGGTGTCTGCCATACCCGGGGAAGGAGAACGTGTGTGGAGAGATCCCGGGTCACCGGGAGCGGGCAGGTGACGAGGTCTCAGTCTTGCCTTGCCTGAGGTGCGAGGAGGTTCGGGCTTCCCTTGCTTCTGCTGAGTCTCCTTCCCCCCCCCCCCCCCGCGGTCTCCTGTGTTTGTTACGTGCGAGCGCAGAACGGATACTCATTCTTCCTCTGAGATCTCCAGAGTTTGCGCTGTATCTCCTCAGGCATACACTTTTTTCTTGACTGTGTTAAAGAGATTTACTCATTTCCTTCTTTGTCCTGCTACTTTTGCGCCAAAGATATCTGTCGGCAAGAAGGAAGGAACGAAGAAGACCCATTCACTCTGAAAGCACTTACCTGAATGTGGTGCTTTTGCCTGTTTCTAACATGCCTGGAAGGCTCAGCTTTCAGCTGCAAGTGTAGTTTTAAAATCTGCTGTGCATACTCTTATCAGAGATCTGTGACTGTTTATCCTGTGACAAAGCATGATATATTTAGGTCTTGCACTACACAGGATTAGATGGGTAGCATGTGAAATGGATGTCACCTGTAATATTAACTGTATAGCTACAGCTGGCTAGGAGATTGTTCTGTGCATGGTAACACTTGAGGCCTCAGCTTGACATTAAGCTTTCTTTTCTAATGTTATTGAAAGAGGATAAGAAGGAAAGCACTGTCAGTTCCCCTTCCAAACGTCCACTTTGCCAACCTGAAACTAGTGTGTTTTTAACGCAATGTGGTCATAGGTGCTCATGTCCAGCAGGGTTCTAGTCATGCTGGGATGCTGTAGGAATGGATCTGAGAAGTATATGGTTAGATAGTGTGGTAGGTGGTAAAGACTCCCGAGTATGCAAAAGGTTAATATTTTGCATTACTGTTCTTTTTATAAGAAAATTTCGATGTAACTTTGATCAATTTTAAGTGCTGAACTTTAAACTTTTTCAAGTGTTCCTTGCCCCCCCTTGTGTCAGAAGAGTTTGGTAGTATGACCTACATTGTGCACTGCCAGATGGTTAAAACGTCTTGTTACATTAAGATGAATTCTTTAATTTTGATACCGAATTTTACATGGCTTTTTGTGCAAACTTAAGTCTTGTCTAACTTTCTGTTTAGCTAGAAATGGTGACCTCTACTTGTGGTACTCAGCACTGGCATGAAAAACTTGGTTTCAGTTTCTCTTTTTGAGTTAATTGCTTCACTATATTCTGCAGATTCTACAGGAAACTTTACTTGACTAAAGATTAGAGGGCTGTAGTGAATGCCATGTTGATAGGGTTTACCTTTCTATCTTTTCTGAAGATTATTGCATTTGCTGTTGTTGTTTGATGCCCCTCAAAAGGTGGGTGAAGGTCAGTTGTGTTAAAATTATGTTGCATATTGTACCTTTCCAGATTTAGGAGATGGGTGTAGAATGCCAGTTTACTTTCAGCTCTATTCCTGTTAGAATCAAAGCAGTGTCTCTGTTTATCTTATCTCAAAAGTAATCAAATAGAAAATGAAAATCACTTGATGACCATATACGTTAAGTGGAGGTGGGAGGGGTGGGGATGTATCAGGGAACTTGCATTGTTGGAGCAGCTGGTATAACTGGAAAAACTAAAAGCATTTCTTCTGCATGCAGACCTTATCTTGGTATGTTGTCTTTCAAATTGTATATGAAATAATCTTGAGTAAACACAGGGAAGAATTTCAAGTTCAGTTGCACCATGGTCTGTGACTGAGCTGCTATTCTGGGTCTGTTACTTATGTTACTATTTACTTTTTTTTTCTTTTTGTGGGGTATGTGTGTTCTTCATAGAACAGCTATAAGCAATACTCCTTTTTTGCAATGATTTGGCAGTTCTTTTACTTATAATGCTCTTTTTCCCTAATTGTCAATACAGTAAAAGCTATTTCATATTTTGCAAACTTACTATGATTTTTTTTTTCTCTTTTGGGATGGGACTTTGAATATGAAAAAAGTTATAATCTGCACAAAGAAACATTTAGTGCTGTAGAAATAAGGTTGCATGTTAAGTATCAGTGGTGGTGTTACACACCCTGTCCTAGGAAGTCGCTTAGTGGATGTTTAGAACAGTAGAGTTGGACAGCCTGTTGGCTTCAGGGTTATCAGCTAAGTGAACATATATTGTAGATTACACAGTAAGACCATTTAAATTTTTGTATGTATATCATAAGTTAAAATGGTGACTCAGCTTAAGTGATCTAAGATACAGTAATATTTTAAAAACAATACAGTGTTATGACAAGGGAAGTTAAATATTTTTTTTTCTTTTTGCAGAAGGTCTTGATGTAAGTGGCTGAAAAATGGTTCTGCAAGATGCCAGCATCAACTTTAACGTTGTTAAAATGGTAAATAGAATATTTAAAAATATCTTCATTCCATTTGCTGAAAAAAAAATAATTAAGAAATGTTCTTAAAATGAATATTCCTTCAAATGACAAATTTCAACTGGTATTTTAAAATTGTACCATGTGGAAGGCATATTTATTTCCTAATAATGGAAATGAACGGCAGGCATGCTGAATTTTCTACTGTATTGAACAGAGTAGAATATTGTAGTTACTTTAAAGCTTTTCTGTTTCAGCTTATGTGTCTTCTGGTGGCTTAAATTTATTGTAACTCTGTGAACTTGATGAATTAAATGTTTTTTAAAGGTAAAGCCATGTTCTTGGAAGTGTCTTGTTTCAGGTAATTTTTTATCCTTATCCTGAAGTGGGTTAATTCTTGGTAATAAGTTTTGAACTGGGTTCTGTGTAACCAACTTCAGTTAGGACTACAGCCCACAGCAGATCTTGCATGCTGATAGAGGGTAATATGTATGTATTACATAATGACTGAATTTAGGTACAAGTTCTGTACCTTGTTACGTGAGTGTAGGTAATATAGATTAAGTATGGGTCAAAAGTAAGCGACTGAATAGTTTCTTTCTCTTAGTAATATTTGGTTTAGTGTGCATGGAAGGAAGAGTTTTTAAGCACCTTTATTGGTTTCTGTTTATTTTTATTATTTTTATATTCAGTTCTTTTATGTGCATGAACTAGGCATGCACACACTGTTAGAGCTTTGTATGGATAAAAGTCTTCTGGTTTAAATTTTGGTTGAGATACTGATCTTAATCTTTAATTAGGTGGGTAGCGTAAGAAAAATGACCAGCAGCTACTTTTTGTATGGGAGGGCACTGAACTAAACAGATATTCAGGATCTACAGCAAGCATAGGCTTGGTGGTACAGAAGGTGGATAACCACATGCCTGTGTCTTAAAACTACATCTTCATTTTTATTTATTTATTTGTTTAAACCAGCTATGCTTATTTGGTAAACTATGTGGTAAAGGGCTTGGACCTGCTGGATGCTAAGCAGTGTGTAAATCTTGAATTCAGTGGGAGCTGAATCATAGGCTTGTGTGGTCCATCTTTATAGTCTTCCTCGTTATCTTATTTGCAGTAGGTGAAAAGCATGAATGTAACTTTTGCTTCCTATTGTAAGCTTTCCACCATGCTTCACACGTAATCAAAGGCAAAATTTAGGGTAAGCATTTAGTTTTGCCCTCAACTGCTACCTCTGTTCTGCATATTGATTTGTGACTCGTTAATACAGGGTATGACTCCTGTTGATACAGGATAACCCTAAGCCAGAGTTCAGCAAGGTTTCACATGAACAGTAAAACAAAACAAAGCAAAAGAAAACAAACCAGACAAACAAAACAAACAAAAAACAACAAACCAGCACTTCCAGACAGTAAAACTTACAGCTTTAGTATTCCTGGTTGCCAGGTGAAGTTTCGTGGTGCCTTCTCTTGGAGTATCATATGCTTGCCAGCATTTGGATTTGCAAATCATTGCAGATTATATGGCCTTCTGACTGGTGTAGTGTAACACTTTTTTCCTGAAGTTTCTTATATATAATGTTGCTTTCCCTACATAACAAATTTAAAGGTGATTTTATTGAATGTCTTTATAGGATCTGGGTTAAAAAAAAATGTTTTAGGTGAGCTTTTTTTGCGGGTTTGTTTGATTGTTTTGCTATGGTTATAATACTGTATTGAATTAAGGAAAGATACTGGGTTTCCACAAGAAGTAACATGGAGCTGTCTTATCTTTGTAGATCATTTTAACGATAATTTTAAAGCCAAAAAGCCTATATGCTCTTCCGCTACCTTCATAATTCTAATGTTAAAATTCTTTGCTTAGGAATGTTGGCTTAAGAAATAGGGCCTTTCTGTGCATAGTTTTAAAAAAATTAGACGTTAACATTATCAGTTTCTTGTTTCTCATGTGAACTTCTTATTTCAATGAATAAAGAGGGGATCATATTCATTGAAATATCAAAAATAGTAAATGATCCCATTCTCTTGCAGTTCAGTGCTGTCCTGCTAGCATTTTTTATGTGGCCCAGTTTTTAAGGTTATGTATCTGTTTGTCCCGAGCATTTAGGACTTGAACTGCAGCAGGCACTTGTGCAGCTTGAAATTGTAGAAGATACCTTGCAAGGATAAGTGTATCACAGACACATGCACACCATTTTTCAAGCTTTGCCTGTTTTTCTTTTTTTCTTTTTAGGAGACTATCTTCACTTTGACGTGATGTGTGAAGTCTGTTAGCATTTTTTGTTTGGTTTTCTTTTTTTTTTTTACAGTTATTGTGGAAGGTATGTATTAAGAAAAGTAAATCTTGTTCTTTCTGTGTTCATTTTAGTCGGAGCATATTGCCATCAATACAGAAGCCAAATAAGAGATATGTGGAATTGTATTTCATTACAGATTCATAAATACTGATATTTTGTCAATGAGTGGGGATAATGTGTCTGTCTAAAAACTTCTCAAAGTAGTAGTTTCTATCTGTCTTTATGTTCTGTGTGAAGTTTTACGTTTGAATTCTGTCCTAAAACTTAGCATATAATTTCCAACAGGATTTTGTTTTTTCTGCTGAACATTGTAGTCATTTTAGTGTTGCCGATTAAGTACCTTTTTTTAAGTTGACTACTAGCTTCAGGATGCATCGTGCTGCATGAAGACCAAATTTGTAGTCACCGTTTCTTGTTAAGCCTTTTTACTTGTTATGGAAGAACCAAACAGAGGGCTATATTAAGCACACAGAAATGTTAAACAGACACTTTGTACTCAGATGAGAAAGTAATAGCTGCTATTACTGTAGTATATAAAGACTACAAGACATAAGTATGGGCTCTTTAGAATTTTAAAATTTACTTATAGGTAGAAAAGAAATGGTGCAACATGTATTTACACTCTGAATAACTTTATATGTAACTTCTTATTTAAGAAGTATTAGATTTTCTGTCATCCTGCTAAGGAAAGGGATTTGTATGAGCCTAATGTAAGCAAGTTCAGTACAGTATTAAGCAACTGTGCGTGACCTCTAAGCACAGTGTATATGTGCTATATACTTTGAAGTAGTTTGTGGTGAGAACAGAATGCTAGGAATGCAAGCATCTGATGCAGAGACATCAAGTTCATCAGGCTTCAGTGATTCCTTCCTGTCTCCAGCTACCTCTCCCCCTCCTACCTGTAGCATGTGACTGTTAAAAGGCTGGAGTGATTTCCATTTCTGGTATGCCTTACCACTGTTAATGTCTTGTGCTGTAGCCTGACAAGGAATAAGATTTCTTCTTTCTAGCTCATTTGGAGCTCTTTATGCCCAGCTCCCATTTTTGATGCATTTATTCAAAGACATGAGCAATTTGTAGCCTATGTATAATATAACGGCTTGTAGGCTATTAGTCATAATAACGTGAAGGCAAAGTTTGTAGAGTGTAATATGTAGTATCTACTAGACCAATTCATAAAAAATGAAAAAACCTTTATAAGCTTTCAAGCATGAAAACCTTTTTTTTGGCTTACTCAAGTTTAACATAAAATCCCTATTTATTCTCTCTTTGAGAACAAATGTTTTCTCCTTTATTCCATATCAAATAAAAGCTGCAATACCTTGCTGAGTCTTTCATACCTTTGCCCCTCCCTGCTTACAGACTTAAGCTTTCTTTTGTCAATCCCACCATTTTATCAGAAAAGAGTAATTATCCAGAACTGATGCCCACACATGGAATATATCAGCATAGATCTAGTGGTATAATGATATTGCAGGAACTCTGCCTGTTGATTTTTTGTTTAGAAAGAAGCCCTTTGAGAAATGGAGGAAAAAAGCTCAAAATTTGAAAGTGGCAGAGTGTGTATTGCAAAGGAGGGGCATGAGTCAAGGCTGGAAACAGTGTAGTGATCTCAAATGCACTTGTGCATGTGTGGGCATTTAAGTCATTAATCTGAAGAATAGGCTAGTCTGGGGAAAAGAAATGTAGCTTCTTTACTGAAGACATTGTGGCACTGTGATAAATAATTTGTAAATGATGAAAAGACAGTATAAGTTGACATATGGAAAAAACAGTGTAATTTAAATTCACTGAACTTTATTAGTAAAGCAGATCACTTATTTACTGTGAGAGTCAGGAGCTGCTCTGTAAAGATGAATTGAATTAAATTGGTTTACTTTTAAATCCTATTTGGATTATTTTTTTTTTTTTTCCTTCTTAAATCACTTTATTGTTTGAAAGATCATAATTTACCCAAATGGGTTGCTGTGTCTTTGGAAATGTTTGTTGAATGCTTAACTTTAAACATGTTTCTGACTACCTTTAGTAGAATTGTATTTGACATAATACATCAAACTAATTTCTAGTCAGCTTAGAGTATCAGAATTTGCCAAAATATAGTGGTCTCAAATAGTGTAGAGTTTGTAGCATAGAAATGACAAAAAGGTATTGAATGTTTTACCTACCTTTACTTCCTTCTGATGAGATTTACTTTCTGATTGCCTCTAATGTCTCTGAAAATGTCATGCCAGGTCTGTGAAAGATCTGCTTTTTAAGAAATATGAATGTGTTTCCTGGCATAGTGGATCTGTTTCATATCTGTGAAACATAGCCCTCCCCCTGCTGTTTTGGGGCTGTTTTGGAGTTTCTTGGGTGGGTTTGTTGTTTTGGGTTTTTTTTTCAGTCACTGTTTGTGATCTTCTGGGGTTTATTCCTTTATCAATCTTGAATAGGTTACAAATGGTGTGGGTTTTTATCATGAATCGAATGAGCTCCCAGAGCAGTTCATCCACTCAACGTAGGCGAATGGCTCTAGGAATTGTCATTCTTCTCCTTGTTGACGTGATATGGGTTGCCTCTTCAGAACTTACTTCTGTAAGTATTGTTCCATGCACCTTAAAAGGAAAATAAAAGCCTATTTAAGAAAAAGATGCAACAGAAACATGATCAGTCAGTCAGTGTTTCTAGTATAATGTTTAATTACTTCTTCAGTATCAGGAACATGATACCCTTTGGGTTAGTGAACTAAGCTGCATTCACTAAAAGGTACAGACAAGCTCAACTCTGTGCCTGTTGCTTTCAAGGTAGAAGGAGTTACTGATGATTTTAAAATTAAACAGCATAAACTTATAACTGTGGAATTAGGGATTTCATTTTGTTTATTACCTGTTTGATTAAAATAATGCCCATATGTTTCTCAAGAGATAGTAAAAGATCTGTAATACTGCAGGGTAGGTGGCGTGATAGATTATAGTTCAGAACATAACAGAAGTCTAGGACTAAAGGACTCTGATCACGGAGTTTAAACCCTATAATTGTAGACAAGTTTGTCATGACCTAGTTCATATATTCTGCCTTGAAATTAATCTGGTATTTACTTCATGTTGAGTTTTAGGACTTGGAGCTTTAGCAGTGGAAAACAGGTTTTTAATAAACTATTGCAAATTTGGATTTCTGAATGGTCATTAAGTTTTTATGTTCTATAACAGTTTTTAAGCTAAGCATATAAAAATGTTTGCTCTTAACATGCTATTATATTAATAAAAGATTTTTTCCAGTCAGTTGGTGTCATTATTGATACTGAAAATTTACTTACTCAAAGTAATCTCTAATTTATGCTTACTGTGCTATTGCTAATAGAAATGGTCTTTCATTTAGAGAATATTTGCATTTTCAGTACTATTTGAGTTCAGTGGCATACTGATCGATACGTTGCTTGATTAAATACAAGTAATAACGAGCTCTTCTCCAGTGGCATTGTATCTTACAAAATGGCTCTGTGCCTTTTTGCTGGCATTTATGATTGCTTGGGAGAGGATAAGTACAGAAGAATTACAGCCCCTTGTGTCTTTTGGTCACATGTGCCAATACTTGCAGCACTGGCATTTTGGGAATCAGACTGTTCTGGTCTAAAGCCTGTTCATTATCTTGTGAATTCTCACCTAATTGTTGATTTTGGATACTGCGATTATTTTATTTCCACAGTATGTTTTTACAAAGTACAACAAGCCTTTTTTCAGTACATTTGCAAAAACATCCATGTTTGTTCTATACCTCTTGGGATTTATTGTTTGGAAACCATGGAGGCAACAGTGTACTCGTGGATTTCGTGGAAAGCATGCAGCTTTTGTAAGTATTTTAACTCTGTAAATGTTTTGATAGTTGTTGAAGTTTGTATAGAAAAAAAAACCTTAATAGAGACTAGAGAAAAGCGAAGTTTACATATTTGTGAAATAGTGCTTTCAGAAAAGCAATTATAAACTGAATTATGGCACAAGAAGACATGATAATCCTAATATTAGTCTTGTAAGAAGAAGAAAAGAAAGGAAAAGGGAATATGAAACATTTCAGGAATCCTAAGAAATGCTTTACTGGGCCAGATCATTAGCTCATCTAGCCTGGTATTTTACCTTGGACAGTTGCAGTGGATAATTCTTTTAAAAAAGAGCTTATGAGCCTTATCACTCATAACTCATGTTGGCTGTGGGTTCCCTTTTATTCCCCCAGCATCTGTAACCAATGGAATCAGTATCTGAACTTTGCAGTTGATTTTCATTACTGACTCTTTGTCTCTGGCAAAACTATGAACTGTTTGATGAGAGGTTTTGAGATTTTTAAAGTTACATTTAGGAAAAGTGGTAGAATTATGGTTTTGTTGTTGTTAATACTGCATTTTTATAGCATTTATGCACAAGTGACATTATGTTGCTCATTCTGCAACTAAGCATTATTTGTGTTAGAGTCTAAAATTACTGTTGTATTACAGAAATACATAGTCTTTTCCAAGGAAATTAAGTGTTGCTGAAAAGAGCGCACATGCTGTGCCAGTGTTTCAGAGTGCTGAACAGCAGGACTCAGGAAGCAGTGAGGCATTTGGCCTGATATTAATCTCGCATTAAAATAACAGAAAATGTGATCTAAGAATATGCTGTTAATCAACGTGTCTTTATAGGAAATAGCTTGTGTGAAAGGAGATTTGGCTTCAGTTCTGGATATATTAGACTTCACTGGTAGTGAGAGTTGTAGGAATAGAAGACTTCAATTGAAGTGTTACATGATGTTAAGCCAAATTATAACACCCCCCCTCCCAAAAAAAACCAACAAGGCAAACCCCCCCCAACCAAACAAACAAAAAAACCCCACAAATCACCAACCAAAAAACAAACAAAAAGGCACTCCACCCTGCAACAGCAAAGCACTGCTAAGAGGAAAAAAATTGAAAACAAGCCCCTTAAACCTTTTGTTAAAATAAGCAAAAAATCATGTTAAACATACAGAACATTTAGAGTTGGCTGATATCTTGAAATAAGTTTTGGTAGTCAGCCTTTACTGTGAAGTGTGTGTACAATATGGCAGATGCTAGACTTGATGCTATTCAGGGTCTTTGTAAGATAATCAGGAAATAAGCAGAATTTACAGATGCTTTACTGGCATTAATGACCAATAATGGTGATGAAATCACTATAGAATGATTAGTTTAACAGAACAATTATACTGACCAAATTTATTAATCTGAGCAGAATAAGGGACTGTTGCCTAGTGTGAATTGTCATTATCTTGACCAACTGAATCTTGTGCAGTGCTGTGTCAAAGAAGGAAATAATATGAGCTGGACAGCTATGACTAAGAGTGCTCAATCAGTCACATTTTGTGTGTGTCACTCATGGCAGCGCAACTGGGATCTCATTATCTTTCTAATCCTACAAAAAGTAATTTTAATAGTAGGAAATAGCCATTACTTTCAGTGTCAGCATAATTCAAAAGAACAGGCAGAGACAGGACTGTAGGGTGTAGGTAGAAGATTTTATTTATATACACACACCCACCTCCTGAGTTTAGTGAAACATTTAACTGTGTAATTACTACAAGTGCCTGTGAAATGTGTTGTGTTTATTAATCTGGAACAAAAATACTACATTTATAGATTTCTTATTTCAGTAATGATTTCTAAGTTAAACACTCATACCTTACTTTTATGCTGTCTTCTGCATTAGAGGATTTGTTTAGTAGATTTCTTACCAGCATGGTAGAACAGCAAGCTTCAGGTCGGGGAACATGGGTAGTAGTGCTTGTTAATGTGAAGAAACAAACAGTAAAAATTACACTTGACCCCATCCTAGTTTAAGCCTTGTTAAAACTAAAGCAGAGTTCCAGGGTTTTATGCAAAGGAACTTTGCCTCAGTAAAATGAAGAATCAAGAGGCTTGTTGTCAACACTTGCACAATAATCCAGTGAAACATGTCTTGCTAAGACTGAACTGCACAGTTTTGTCATTCTGACAGCCTGATCTGCGTTGCTACCTGGGTAGTTGAATTGAATGGGGTTTTCCGAGAGATACAAAGAATTACTGAAGCTACTTACTGGACTTGTAAACCATCTTGTTTTTTTGGGGAGGAGGCCTAGAGGGAGAAATTGCAATAGAACTGTGGAAAAAGACATTAAAAAACTTATTCTAAGAAACCCCCACAGTTATTAATAACTGCCTTGATATATTACTGATTTAAGGTTCTGTAATTAGTTTGCAGATGCTGAAGGTTATTTTGCTGCTTGTACAACAGATAACACTGTAAACAGTTCTCTGGTAAGTGCCTTAATTTGTGAAGGTCAGTGCTTTACCATAGCATGACACCATTATACAAACTTACTGTTTTTAAAATACGGCGGTCGTAAGTGTAATAGTTTTTGGCAAAGGGAATTGCCAACTTAGATGTTACTAATAAGCGTTGCAAATAATGGTGTTGCTTATTGTGAGAAATACAGGTTCTCAGATCAATAAAACACTTGAATGTTTCTATACTAGTTTGTGAAGTAAATATTTGTCATGCTAAAGAAGTGTTTACATATTCACCTCAGTAGCTGACAAAGCAAAAAGTGGAGAGCCAGTGGTACAGCCAAACAGTTTTCAAGACCAAAATACACAATGGAATCAGTTAGTTGAGATCTTGTATATGAATTGGTTAGTTGAATGTGTTGTATAATGTGAACCTGCATTGCATTTTGAAGCGAAACGCAATGGATTCCTTCCAGTGGATGGAGTGATTACTGTTTACTGAGTCAGATGTCAGTACTGGTATTCTGCTGACAAGCTGCATTGCCAGATACCATTTTTTTTGGTGATTTTTGTCATCAGTAGGTGACATATGCCCCTGTGGATCACAGATTGCTCTTTAAATCACATGCCTAAATCAGAGGCGAAATTGGGAAAGTATCCAGAACACAGAACTTGCACTATCTCTGTAATAGAGTAAGGAGAGGCAATTGCATGTTGACAAAACTACTTACAGGTATTTTATCCTGAATAAGGAGTAGGAGAGAGATTTTTCAGAATTATTCTTCATTTCATTCTCCCCCTCTCCCTCTCTCAACTTTATTGACATTTAGGAATAAAATCTTCTGAGGTTACTCAATTCATTAAGATCCTCTGACTCTAGAAGCAGGATTCATCATTAACCTTGGAGAATTTTGCATTAATTTAAACACAAAAAATCTGATCCTAAGGAAGGGGCCTAACCAAAATGGAGCTACCAGATCATTCTCATTACTTCACTCTTAGAGTTTATTAATTTTATTTAAACAAGCAGCTTAAAACTTGTGTTGTTACAAGTATTTTAAGCAATTGAAACTTCTGCTAAGTGCCTATGGTGATGCATCCCTCCACCCCCTATCCCCTGGGCTACTCTGCTGTTTAAGGAATTCCTGTCAGGCCTTGGCCTTTGTGTAATGAGTTGGGTGGTGAAGAATCCCTTTAACTCTTGTATGGCTGAGAACAGAGGCACTGATCATACCAGGGACTCCTGTTGCCTTGATAATGTGGGAAGCAGGAGTGGGGATAATCAGTCATTCCCTGGTAGCATTGGCACGTTTCTTTGCTTGATTGAACCCTGAATGGAACAGTACCATAGTCACTGGAAATTTGAAAAGTTTCTAGTAATTACCCGCTCAGGTTGTGGCCAGGGTGGAAATTTACTAATGACTAAAGCCAGTCATCTTGTGACTTCATAAATACTGGTCCTGAGTGAGGCCCTTTGAGCTTTCCTGGACTGCAGTGGGCTATGAATACCATCCCCTTCTGAGTGGGATGCCTCTCAGAGCTCACAAACTTCCCAAGTTTGCCATAATGAGAGGACCATCACTGAAAGCTGATGATGAGACCTGGGTGCAAGTCCTCCAACTCCTAAAACTTTGAGTTACTTTTCTAAAGTATTTTGGCTTTTGGTTTATAAGCATTTAGGGTCATGGGAGGAGAATGAGCATGTATTAATTTTTGTATGTGAATTCTTATGGGTCTCATTTATCATTTGGACAGAACCTGATGAAATGTCCATGATTTTGATGAGCTGTATTCTGGAGATGAGTCTTTGTTCATGAGGATGTACAAAAAAGCACATAGTTATTTTTGAATACATATTACCAATATGTTTAACATAAAATATAATTTATGTATGAACATTTTTGGCAAGCCTGTCCACTGTGTGCAAAACTACTTCATTAAATTTATTTCTTATAATGTTCACAAAGTTTTAATTTAGTTTTCTAATTTGCTAAATTAATTCTACTGCTTATAATTTAAATATCCTGCTTAACTGTATTTTTACTTATACTGATTCATTTCAGAGTGAACCTTTATATGTTCCTGTAAAGTTTCATGATTTGTCAACTGAAAAAAATGGCAGTAATAATAGTGATGCAGAGAAAAGTGAGTAAAGACTTTTGGAGTGCTGAAATGCTAGTCCTTTGAGAAAGAATTACTGTCCTCTTTGTTGGTATAAATGCTGTCATGTTGCAAGACTTTGTTTTGGCTTTTGGTTGGGTTTTTTCTTTATCCCTGCCTTTTTTGTTGGTTTTTTTTTTTCTTTTTTTCTCTTTACTTAATTCTCTTATTGCTTGAATTGCAGTCTCATATATTTACTTTCAGGTAGAGAAAACATAGGCCTATCGTTCAGTTTACCTTTCTTGGTCACTACAGATCCAGCCTATGTTTATCTCAAGGGACCAGCTGGGTTCAGTACTTGTGATTCTTTCCTTCTGGGCTTGTATGACCAGCAGCAGTGAGTCAGCCTCTGGAAAAACAAGCTATTGTCCTTTTTAGAGCAGGAGCAAAGCAGTCAAAGTAAGAATTTTAACAGTCTATGTGCATTCTGATTTTATTTAAGCCTCACTATCCTGTGATAGTCGCTGAAACAGGCCTAACTGTCCCAGACAATTATAGATAAACTGGCTGTCAGAGAATCCAATTATCTGATCCTCAGCAAGAGTCCCTGCTTACAGAAGAGAAAGTCTCTTTGTTAATTTCTAGATGATGTGTTAAGAACTGCTTTCTTAGGCTCTACTGTGCTGTGTTAACATGCACTTCTGGGTTGTTTGAGCTGTAGCTTTTTCCTTTAGATATTTTATTTATTTGTTTATTTATTTATTTTAGGGTATTGGGTATTGTTTCATATTGAAACACTTAGTGATACTTAAATAGTGATACTTGAAATACCCTTATAAATAAAATGTGATCTTGGTTTACAAGCTTAGTTAAAGGATGGATTTCAGTTGAGCAAGTGACCTTATGATCTCTGCTAAGCTTTGAGGTCTGTTGGACACTCATTCTCTGAATGAAACACTGTCCTTGCAGTTTGGTATACTTGTATGCAGTTTTTGGCTGTTTGACTATTAAAACAATTAAATACAATCTTATATGTAATATTTATCAATACAGAATAATTTCAACTTAAAATGTGTTGTTACTTTGCATGGATTTTTTTTTTTTACTGTGACAAGCGATGGTGCTTTTCAGCGTGGATTTTGTGGGTAAACAATTGTGCTGATTGAAAACTGTAATTGTGCTTCATCTTACTACTGGCCTATCAAACATATCAAACAAAAATACTAGTTTAATAGCTAAAAATAATGGTGTGTCTTCTGTTTGTATATAAACCTGTTATTTGTCAAGTATTGTAATCAGTGCTTTATTAGAACATGGTAGTTTTATTTGCTTATGGCTTGAAAAGTTTAATGGTAATATGCAGCTTGTTGTTTTGTTTGGTTTTTTTTCCTTCTATTTTCTTCCTAAGCTCCCAAAAAGCCTCGTGTAAGGTTCAGTAATATTATGGAGATTCGACAACTCCCATCAAGCCATGCATTGGAAGCAAAGTTGTCTCGCATGTCATATCCAACAGTTAAGGACCAAGAATCAATATTAAAAACAGTAGGAAAACTTACTGCAACTCAAGTAGCAAAAATCAGCTTTTTCTTTTGTTTTGTGGTACGTGTTTCATTCTTTCAGAAGACTTAAGCATAGATGCATTTAAAATTTGTGTAATAGTGAAACAGTATTGAGATGACTTGTATTCTTTATGCTTCATTTTATAAATGCAGTATAAGCATCAAAACTTTCCTCATGCTGGACATGAAGGTGCAGCTTCTTAAAGGGAGGGTAGTAGAAACGGATCCCGATTGTATAGTTAACTGTAAGGGCAGTTATGCTTTTGTGCCATGTTGTCCATTGTTGGGTGTGTTTGGTACAGCAAAAAGATTACGTGCACACTGTTAGTAGCTGCAGTGAGACTGCATGAAATGGGTAGATGTCAATGTGTCTTCTTGCTGGGCAGTTGCAGAAAAAGTACCGTCTTGTGGCTCGCTGTGGCATTGTGCCCTCCAGTAGCATGAAGAGAAGATAATTGTCCTTTAGCTCCACGAAGGGCTGGGAGATCTACTTATGAGTCCATTGGTTGCTGCTGTTTCTGCATCATGCCTGAGCTCTAGGGGGAAAGATAGCTAATGGTAGCATGATTTTTGAAGGACAGTAAAAATGTATAGAGAGCAGATCAATTATAGCTTTCCCAGAATTAGGTTCACTGATACTGCTGAATAGGGTATATGTAATGTGAACCCACCACTACTTTTCTTCAGGAAGTAGTGCTCTTTAAACATTTGAAATAATAATAATAATAATAATAATAATAATAATAATAGTAATTTATTTGTGGACCAGAAAATGGTGATGTATATTAAGAATGTGCACACAGCAGCAAGAAAACAATAATCCACTCATTAGTGATTTTTAAAAAGTTATTTAAAATTCTGTGTGTCTATATGTGTATATATATATATATATATATACACACATGTAGAATTCTAGGATAGAGTCCTCATGTTCAAAACAAATCCTGTTTATGCAGTTTGTGGATGCTGCTACCTATATATGTATTTCTTCTTAGACTGTATAAATATTTCCACCTAAAACTTTAGAGAGTGGTAACTTCCTTGAAGATGTATCTGAGATCTTATTGAGATTTTAATCAAGAAATGATTAAACGCTTGCCGTTTATTCCTTTAAGGAGGAATTGACAGTCATGAACCCTTGCAAAATATTTTTCAGGTACTGAATGTAAACTGTGCTTGCTTTTTAGGTTGGAGGTGTGTGCCAGTTTTAAGTACTCTTAAAAAAAATCTCATTAGCCTGACTAAATGTCCTATGTATCTATGAAATGTGCAGATACAATCTTGAAGCGGTTGCAAAACACCTCAGAAGAATCTTTAGTTACTATAGAATAATTGGTATAATGTAATTTAAATAATTGAATTATTTTTAAGTTCTTAAATATGTTATTTCATTATAAAACACATAGTTGAATGTGGTTAATTTGGGCCAGTTCCAATTTTGCTTCTGTCTTCTAATGTACCTGCCACTTTAATAGAACTTAGAAATCTCTGAGGTAAAAGTCTCATTCTGACTTTATTTTTGGATAAATAGTTATTTTTTTTCTTTAAGTAGGATTTTATTGCACTGAGAAACTTAAGCTCTCTTGTTGCTATCCATATAATCACAAAATAATATTCCTTTTCTCCCAGTGGTTCTTGGCAAATTTCTCTTACCAAGAAGCTCTGTCAGATACCCAGGTTGCTATAGTTAATATATTGTCGTCAACCTCTGGTAAGTTTTATTACACCACCAGATGTGCATTATAAGGCTGTTTATAACATAAAAATCTGTTTGGTTACAATGGACTTATGTAATCATTTACCTGGGGTTTTGGGTGAATAGGAAGGCTTAAAGCCATTGAATATGTGCATTTAAAAATTTTAGGCTATCCTCATGGTTCCTCTGCTTTTTGATTTTCAAGTTTATGTGTGTATTTCTGCTGTTATGTCTGTGTATTAAAGACATATATTGGAAGTTTAATACTTTTGTTGTTTAAAAACAGTTTTGAAAGCACAATTATGTGATTATTTTTTTTTCAGGGACTTTGCAGCCTATTGCAGTTTATTTTGTTAGTATGGCTAGCCTTTCTCAGAGTTGAGCCTGTATTTGCTCATCTGAGAATTCATATCACAAGGTGTTAGTTTCATAGTAGTTCCAATAAAAGTTAGGGATGCTAAGATCAAGTAGTTAAAACAGGTATATGTAAAAGAGAAGAAGAAAAATGTGCATTTTTCTGGACTAAATAGGAACAAAACTTGGTTGTATAAACACTTCTTAATTTCTTTTGCAGGTCTTTTCACTTTAATCTTAGCTGCAGTCTTTCCTAGTAACAGTGGAGATAGGTTTACCCTTTCCAAATTATTAGCTGTCATTTTAAGGTAAGATAATGGGCTATTTGGTCAACAGCTCCCTGATACCATGAGAGAACTACTGTACCTATGGTATCTGTGACAATGTATGATATGCTTCACTTTTTAAAAATTGATAAATTGAACAAGTAAATTAAGTCTGTTTAAATACTTCATATCATGAACAATTATTGAATTGCATGCACCTGTAGGAAATTGGATTAAGGAAGTTTCTGTTGGAAATATGTGGACTTACTTTCTTGTTGTTTAATTATGGTTTCTTTATTTTTGTGTAGATGCGGGGCTGGGGGGGGAAGGAAGAGGTTTGACATTCAGTGTTGTCAGCCTATTTCATTAACTGCCCAGTGCACTGTTCAAGGAAGTTAAAAGTGGAGTTGATGTGTTTGGTTTTAGCTTATGATAAGGCCTTAGCAAAACAGAACTCCCGCTGGCTTTTCCAGAAGTGGATTTTGATTAACTAAAAATAGCGAAAGAGAGAACTGTATTACTATATATTTAACCTCCCCCCCTTTTTTTTTTCTTTTTCTTTGAAAAACAGGCTTCTTGAGTTTAAGTAACGTTTTATGTTCCTTCTTTTTCAATAGCATTGGTGGTGTGGTACTTGTTAACCTTTCTGGATCTGAGAAATCTGCTGGAAAAGATACAATAGGTATTTACCTGGGTTTTTTTTTAATCCTAGAACATGCACTGATAAGTACCATCTTATAACAATGCTCAATAGGTCACATAGCAAGCTATACATTTCTTACTTGTATAACATTTGAGAGTCTGGATTTTTAGTTTCAACTTCTGGAACTGGATGTTTATGATTTTTTTTTTTTCATATGTATATAGCTTAATCGGGAAAGTATTTACATTTTTGAGTTTTCTGCAGTTTTCCAGGCTTTTCATATATAATAGCTTCTGTAATAAATTATTTACCTCTGACAGTTTTATAATAGGTGTGTGTTTAGGAGAGTTGATCTTAGAGAGTGTAATGTATTTGGCATGTCTGAAGTGACTGTTTTTTTCATTTTACAGGTTCCCTTTGGTCTCTTGTAGGAGCAATGCTGTATGCTGTGTACATAGTAATGATCAAAAGGAAAGTAGATAGAGAAGATAAACTTGACATACCAATGTTCTTTGGTAAGACTGAAAATAACCCTATTGAAAGTTTTAATTCAGTGTGATTAAACTGTTTGCTTTCAGGCACTGAATTATCTAGGAGTGGTAAAGGGGCTCAGAAAAGCCAAGGAGGTGGAAAAAGCCTATTGTTCGCATGGTTATGAATACTCCGGAGACTGGTTGTATGAATTGTTTCTTCTTTACAGTCTTAACAATGAAAGATAATCCTACCTGTAGGAATGCAGGGCAGTCCCTTTGGTTCAATGGCATTTAGTGTTGTTTTTTTTTAGTTTCTTTCTTTTTTCCCAAACCTGTAAATTAAATCATGTAATTGTTGTTTATGAATTTCAGGTTATGTTTCTTATATTAATTTCCTTTTGATTTAAAAACATGCTTTGTTGCTGCTTGTATGTATGTATGGTGTCAAAATAGCATAATATAGCTGAGGTTTTAGTTATATTTATGGATATGTATTGTGATTTATCTAATATTGGTTTTATACTCAGGTTTTGTAGGGCTGTTCAATCTGTTGCTGCTGTGGCCAGGGTTTTTCCTGCTTCACTATACCGGGTTTGAAGCGTTTGAGTTTCCCAATAAGCTGATATGGATGTGCATTGTTATTAATGGCCTTATTGGAACAGTTCTGTCAGAATTCCTCTGGCTGTGGTACGTAATACATGCTTTATGTACGTTTCACAGAAATTGTCTTACCTGTGTTCTCAAATGTTGAGATGTCAAATTGTCTAGGTAGGGTTTTCTGCCTCTTAAAATTTTTCTTCTGTTCATGTTGAGTTACAGGATGACATCCATGTCATAACATCCTGTTTAAGAGCAACAGCTTGACTTCTAAAAGCAGGCCGTGTGATCTTGTAGTACTTATTAAGATACCATGTTGCTCAGCTCATTCTAGAATTAGGATATTGAGAAAAAAAGACATTGTGCTACGGAGTTGCATTATTAATGGGACAGCATGATTTTCTGCGGGAACAATTCTTTAGTTTCCAAGACCTTGTGCATGTTGGATATATACATGAGCTGAAATCCAGTATTCTGTAGTTGACAAATTTGTTTAAATCTTCAAATACTGAATGAGAAAAATCTCATCAGAAAGTATTAATCATGAAGATATGGCAATTTTTAAATTAACCTAGCTTTTTTTTAGTAATTTGATTATATGATAGTCTGGATAGGTCATCAGCAGAGGATTAAACATCAGACTTCTAGATGAACTGCTCAAAAGCTGTAGCAAGCTTAAACGTTTGCATGGCTTTTAAAAACACAGTGTCGGTAAGTCAGGTTCTCAGCTTGAGAGAATTCAGGAGATCTTGAGTTTCTTCTAGGCCAGCACTAAGTTAAAATAGGGGTGTAGCAGAAAATCCTACAAGTTGTAAAGTCCTGTTTTATTCTGGAAACCCTGAGGAGGAGTTTCCAAAAAGACATGCTTCCAACTCAGTGAACAGTTACTCAGTGAACAGTGTCAGTTTTGGTGTTAGTTTTGAAAAGGTGTGGCAGTTTGTGAGCTTTTGCCCGAGAACCCTTGGTGTTTGGGCTCTCAACTCAGCGGTAGAGAGACTGGAAAACCTCATGGGGTAGCTACTCTGAAATGGAGATGTCTGTTCTAGGATCCTAAGTTGTGTGACAGTATGACAATAAAAGATCTAGGTGGAGTTCCTTGAAAGTTCCATAAAAACTTTATTGTGTGTGTGCATTGTTTTTGTTTTGTTTAGTTTTGTTTTCAGAATAAGCTTAAAGTTTAGAAATTTAATCATGACATTTTTTTGTTCATTTGAAAACTTTTACACCAGTCTTAGTTGTAAGTGAATTGCAGCATATGGTTCTTTGTAATTTAATTTCTTCATTAACAGAGTATTTTTGTGATGATAATGCCATCGTGTAAGACTCACTTCCGTATCAGTTAGTAAAAAGGTTAAGTGTAATTTCAATATAGGCAAAATAACAAATAAACAAAACCCCAAAACCTAAAATTCCCCAAGCCCCCAGACTTGGCTCTTATACCAAAGTCAAGTATTAGCATAGGGTTAAGTACATGGGTGCGCATGGGTGTGACTTTTTGTATGCATGCCATTTGTGTAATTACTTAGAATGATGATCCAATCAAAGAGCTAATTTTATTTCCAGTTCCGTTTCCCTAGAATTTTGGACTAGGACTAATTTCAGAGTTAGTTCTGACATCAGTCACCCTTTTAGCTGTCCAGTGTGCCACAAGTATCCTCCTCTTTCTTTCGAAGTAAATATTATCATTTAACCTATTTGTTTACTCCATCTGGTGACATACTGCCAGCTTGGTGGTAGATGTGACACTAATAATTTTTTCTCCAAACTAGCTTATAAGTTTCACTGGATTGTGTACTATTTATGGTGTGCTGATGGAGAGGACGGTTCTAACTCTGAAGTAGTCAGCGCAGAGATACAGAGATACTCTATGGTATAGAAGGAGACTTTGAATATTACAGAGGAAGTTTGCAACAATGCGGAGTATTTAAATTGCTTTGTTTCTATTCTGTTGCTTTCTCATCTGCATCCATTTTTCTTTGCTTTAAGGACACAGAACATACAAAGTGATTTTTAAATACCTGAACTGGTGATTTTTGCTTGCCTGAAAGTCAGTCTTATGAAGGACTTACTGATTTTGTTTGCTGATTTTTGTTTGAAGACTCTTTCAGTTTAATTAGAGAAATACGTGCATGAAGTCATGTTCTAGAAAATGTTTTCTAAATATGCGTTCAAGTCTGTGTTTAAAAGATATTAACAAACTTCTGTGAGGTGAAAATAGCACTGCTATGATGTTTCATCTGTTTAATTTTTACGGTAATCAGAGTAAGGAATGAGAAGGTAAAAAGAAAAAAAGCAAATTCCAGAATTCTGCCAAAAATTGCAACTACGAGTTTTCCTTCTTTAAAAATTGCTGTATGCAGGACTGATTACAGTTCCACACAAAAGCACAGCTGGTACTGTTTCCAGTACTTGCCAAAGATGAAGGCTGCCTTTATCTTACTTAAATAATTTTTGGGTGCCTTTGAAATAAGAGGCTGACTCCATAGTGGGCAGTACTGATATGAATTGGGTAGATACCCCTTTGTATTTATTTTCTTCATATGGTAGTCTCATAGAGGAGTATTTGCTAACAAGCCTCACTATGCTTGGTAACTTTTGACTTGGCTGGCCATAAAATGGAAATTGCAGGGTTTTTGTGTTGCATATTATGTTCTTTACTTGGTATTGAAATGGCTCAGACTAGTCATGTTGTATTTGTAGAGGCTTATATATTTATAAGGCTTGTATTATATATGTTGTATTTATAGGCTTATATCAAAATGCCAAAAATCTTGAGAGCTCACATGTGCTCTGAACTCTGTCCTACATAAGCTTTGAATTATTTTTTTTTTTCTAATTTAAAAAGTCTTCAGTAAATCAGTCATTTGCAACTAAACAAGACTTGCAAAGGAATTTGGGAAAAAGGGTCAGTATTCTGTGGCTGTTTGAGTACTACTCTGTCATACATGTAGTTTTGTTGTTCTGCCGTTTTGAAAAGCATAGTTTGTTAAGAATTTGTCTGCTGTAAAAATGTTCTTCTTTTTGGGTAGGATTTTTAGACATCAGTAACCTTTTTTTTTTAATTAACTGGATGGGGCAAAATAGATATAATTGCTGTAAGCTGGTATTAAACTATTTCAAGATGGAAACAAAATGCAGGTTTTTCTAGGTGGGGTCACTCCATGTCAAGTAGGGAATTTTTCATAATCTCAAAAAGTTTGTGAGGGAATCAGACCTCAGTCCAGAAGATATCAATAGTCTAGTTAAGAATTCTGAGCAGTTTTACAGATTTATGATGGCGTGTGGGTATCTTTATTTTTCTTTGTTAAAGCAAACACTATGTAACAGGCTTGAATAAATGTCCTCTGCAGTTTGTATTATTTCACTTGTATTTTAGCTTTTAAATAAGACCCCTTTATTAATATATTTTTAATTGTCTTTTAGGGGATGCTTTCTTACCTCATCACTGATAGGCACACTTGCGCTAAGCCTTACAATACCTCTGTCCATAATAGCTGATATGTGCATGCAAAAGGTAATGTACTTACCAAATTCTGACCGTTATTAACAACTTCTTTGAATTAAATAGTGGTGTTATTTTTAGCAATGTATACAATGAACAATAGTTTACTTCCATTTCTTTTTAATAATCTCTTGATGTTGGCAGTTACAGTAATCTTGCATTTACAAACGTGCACTTGTACACTTAAATGTAAGTGATTAAGATGCAGCTTGTATGAAAAGTACAGAGTCATCAGCAATGGCTGGCCAAATGTTTTACCTTGAGCAGGCACTTTTCAGAATTAAACAACTGCAAGTACAGTACCACTTAATACCTTTACAATTACAGAATTGTTATAGACTGCCTATCTTGAAGATACCGAATTAGTGACAAAACCAAAAATGTGCAGGTTTGCCACAAAGGAATGTAGCAGCTACAAGGTTTAATTGCACTTTATTAGATTCATGCAGATGTTAGGCTTCCATTTAACTGTCCTCCTTCAGGTTAGTCTAGTTTCCCTGGCATTGAGATAAAAGCTCTGGAAGGCCTTGCATGTAGAGAAAGAAAAGAATCTGATAATGTGAGTTTAGAATAGAAACAGTATGAAGTCAGTTTAAAATACTTCTCAAACTGTATAGATTTTTTTTTTTTCATGCAGGTGAGCTAGAATTCTCAGTTATAAATATTTAATTTTGAACTTCAACTCTGAATACTTGAATTTAATATTAAATAAATGGCAAGGAATATAAAATTCTTCATTTCATGTGAATAGTGATTATTTAGCTTATACTTTAAGTATGCAGTTATTAGGGTCTTTTTGTTTGGGATTTTGTTTGGCCTCTTTTGTTTGTTTGGTTGGGGGATTTGGTCGGGTTTTATTACCGTTTAAATTGAGGTCATTTACTTAATGTCAATGTGAATTTCAGAAAATAAATCTGAAAAATAAAAGGTTAAAAATAAAAAAATGAAAGTCAAATTAGAAAATTAAAGGAGAGTCGGACCCTGAATAAATACTTGCGTAATGAACACATGAGGTACTCTGTGTTTCATACTAGTAGTAGCTGAATATTCAATATGGAAATACAGCAAAACCTTGCAGTGATTCTAACAGTGATAACTGTGTTCATATTGCTGTTTATCTGCAATATACGCTTGGAACATAAATTAAATAGGAAAGTAAATACCTAATGATAGCCACTAAGGAAACAAGGCAAAAAAAAAAAGTTCCATAGACTTCTCCCCCAAAAATTCACTTTAGTGAGGTGGAATAAGGTTTAGGTGTGAGCTAATGCTGGTAGCAAAACCTGAGAATTGTGTGTGTGTGTGTGTGTGTTTGTGTGTGTATGTGTATTCATTAATACATATTTTATATGTATATACTTGTGTATGCAAATACATTTTTAGAGATGTATGTATATATAGATACATAAACCAATATATGAAAAGCTTAGCTTGTCTTCTGAAGTGTTTAAACTTTCTTCTGGAATACATTGAAAAATTGAATATGCTTTTTTAATTCTCAGTAAACAACTTAATGCCTAGGCTATTTAATCTTTTAAAATTAATCTGTTCTTCATGTACTCATGCAATATTGAGGCATTTTAAGTAGCAGAAATATCTTTAAAGCTCTGCTGGATGACTTTCAGTGAACGTTGGTAATACAAGGGCAAGTTACATTAACTCATTTTTATAGTTTGTCACTGTCCAATTTTTATTTATATTATATTTATAAGCAAACAAAAAAGCTGCACAAATGTAGCTAGCAGTCTAACTTTCTGTACACCTTATATTTGCTCTTTTCCTATTTCTTTTAAATCTTCCACTTCCTGTGTTGTCCCACTTTATGTGCTTGCAACATCTTTTGTGATCTGAATCTTCATGCCTGACCCATTTCATCCACGATTCTTTGCTGCCACTTGGTTCCTTCTGGAGCTTGTGTTCTGTGTACTTGCTCCCTTCTGTTCCTTTTAATTTTTCTATCTTCATTAGGAAAGGCTGCTTATTCTCTTTCTCTGGGCAAATACAGAGCCTGACTGATTTTATGAAGCTGGCCATTAGCTGACGATGCTTCTAACATCTTGCCATATGCAGGGGAGTAATCAGGGAGGGGCTGGGGATTCCTTTTTTTGTTGCTTTTCTGATTCATATATGCATTTAACATTTCTGTTGCCCGCCCATCTTCCTGTGGCTGTTACATACTTACTGTCCAAGTTTCTACTTCCTATCTGTTGGATGCTTTTAGCTTGTGGCTGCTGCTTGTACATTTACGGGAATGGAAACTTTTTCTAAGAAGCCGCTAGTAGTAAAAGCACAAATGAGTGACTCTAAAGGCAAATCCCTGTAGAATTTAAGGTTGTTTGTACAAGTGTATTTGTGCAAGTATGTCTGTGTCTTACAATATGCATAATTATTAACTTTCTGGGTATTAGTTATTCTGTAATAGTCTGACATAAATCAGAATCTTAAGAAATTACATCCAAATTTTTAATAAATATTTAAATAGTCCTTTTGGTATCTCACATGTTTATGAATTTCTATTAGAAATCAGTAAGGATAACATAAAGCTCTTAAAGCTGCAGTTTATTAGATTTTTGAGAATGAGCATCAGCGCTAGGTATCAGATCTGTAACCTTTTTCTCCAGTTTTCAACTTTGCAGATTTTTACCACAAGGGGGAGCTATATTCACGGTTCATTGCTCTGTTTGCCTCGGAGGTGTTTCAGAGGCTAGTTCTTGTTCTTGTGTCCTTGATTTAGAATCACAGAATAGTTTGCGTTGGAAGGGACCTTAAAGATCATGACATCCCATGGGCAGAGACCTTCCCCGAGATCAGGTTGCTCAAAGCTCTGTCCAGCCTGTTTTTGGACACTGCCAGGGATGGAGCAGCCACCGCTTTTCTGGGCAACCTGTGCCAGTGCCTTGTCACCCTCTACCTTTTTATAATTTTAAGTTTTAAACAGTGCCAGATAATCACTTCTGAGTGTAGTAGTGGATAAAATACTAGTATAGCTACAAGTAGAATTTAATTTAAATAGGGAAAATGATATGCCCTACCTTTTTTTTTTTATTTAAAAAGAGGATTTCCAGTAGCATAGTCTTTCTGTGTGCATTGATTTCAGCAGTTATCACTTAGTGACCGTATATTTATAGTGAATAAATAGATGTACAAATCTTTCAGGTGAAAGAATTTTTGAAGTGTCTAAGGGACTTTCTCACTGGTACCAGTCAGACAGCTAAAACCTCAAATTGAGACAATTGGAAATGGCAGTCTTCATCCATGTCACAGTGCAAAGAGTAGGTTCCACTATAAAGCAGGGACTAGTAGAGAAAAGTTACTCATATACTAGAAGTAGCAGTGGCTATAGAAATTGTACCAAATAACTCACCCAATTTAAATTAACTGAAACTCACAATAATAATTATCCCAAATATACAGTATGCTATCTATCTAAGACTATTGAGTGAATGATGTTTGTGTTTTAATTCCAGGTGCAGTTTTCCTGGTTATTTTTTGCAGGGGCAGTACCTGTATTTTTTTCTTTTTTCATTGCAACTCTCTTATGTCACTACAACAACTGGGATCCAGTGATGGTGGGAATCAGAAGAATTTTTGCCTTTATTTGTAGAAAGCATCGAATTCAGAGGTAGGGCAGTCACAAAGTATAACGCTATCTCTTCTTTAGCCTTTCCAGTTTGTCATACTCTTTTCTAAGCCACATTACTCATATGGTATTTATTTTAATCTAATTTCATATTCAGGTGTATTCAGGTGTACTAATTTCTTAATAGTAGTAGTTGCCAATCCATTTATTAACCTATGTAATGCTCAGAAAATGGGAAGAGGTGAAGTTTCTTGACATTTTAAAAGAAGTTTCCTAGTGGCTGTCAGTTTTCTTTCTTTTTTTTTTTTTTTTTTAATCTTAAAGCCTCTGTGTAACTGTCGTACCCAGAACAAGCAGTTAAAATTGTGCAACGAGTCTACTTTGTGGAGTTGAAAGGTCTTTGTATGGTTTTAATGCTTGCAGTTCAAACAACTGGCATGCTTAGTACTTACGTTGGTTTCATAACTACTGCATGACTTTAAGTACTTTTGTTTCTTTTAAGAATGCAAGAAGAAAACGAGCAGTGTGAAAGTCTCATTCCTATGCATAGTGTTTCACAAGATGGAGACAGTTGCTGTTCATAGACAAAAGGTATGTTTAATAAACTACAAACAATGCAGAGAAAGGTAACGATTGGTTTTCATCACTGCATTTGTGTTATATAAGCACACATTTTTAGAGCGCATACAGTTAATTTTGTGCCATATTGATAGAGTTTTTGAAGGGTATCGTCAAAATTATTCATCGCCAAGCATTATTCTCACCTTGTTGCAGCTGTTGGTCAGCGGTTTTGAAATGTAGTTTTTTTACTTAAAGAGTATTACAGTGTTCATCGAAAATTGGACATGAATTGATAAACCGGAAGAAGCATGTAACTTTTTTGCTGTTGAGGTCTCAGTTTGGGCTACTGCTGTTGATTGAAAACATCAACATTTAAGGAAGTTTAGAGGACATTGCTGGACTTAATCATTATGGGTCTAGAAAAATGCAAAGGAGTCTTTCTGTATATGTGGTTGACAAGAATTAGGCTGTTGAATTGCGTTTCAATATTAGGGAAAATTATTTTTCATGATAAGGATAGGGAAACTAGACTAGAATAGCTAGGGAGTTCACAAAATACCCCTCTCTGACGCAGTTACACAAACCTCTAACAGGGACATTACATGGTTTGTTGATACTGTCTAGGACCATAAAGGCAGGCATAGTTTACGGAACTCTCTTAGCCCTATGTGTCAGGGTTTTAGTTTTCAAATAACACATACAGAATTACATGATGAGAAGTATATTTTCATTTTCCATGTTGCTTAAATCTGAAAATGAAATTAAAAATATCCTAACCAAAACAGTAATTGTGATGTCTTGAGACACACAAGTTATTTATTTTTACTAGTAAGTTTGAAACAAATACGTGTGGAGATTCCTTTTTTGGTGATCTTTAATTATGTAGCCCTGATAATTTTTATTTATTTTTTTCTTTAGTTTGAAAATGGAATGATGCCCAGCGAAAAGACAATCTCCTGAAAAAGTCCCTGAGGAATCATGTTCCAGTGCCTATTCCGAATTTGTAGTAAAAATAAGAAGTTTCAGTTCTTTTGGAACTCTAGACTTTTCTTCTTTCTTGCTTTCACTTAATTTTATAAATGAACAAATTTGCTACATGCCTGTCACCATAGAAAGTCAGTCTGTCAGAGCAACCATCCTGCCTTATCACACAGAGCTCATGAAGTTACTTGACAAAATCAAGAATCAAGAAAACAAATGCTGTTAAAGTGATTTCTTTCTTCGTTTAGCTCACAATTTTGTTAAATGCTGGACAATGTTATTTTTAAAAAATACTTTCAAATGAGTTATATAAATAAGTTTGCAGGTCATCAAGTCTTACCAGGCTTTCAGATGAAAAGCTAAATAGAGATGTTACCTGTAGTAAGTAAAAATTAACTTTTTTATGTTGTATGAACTATTTGGAGAAGAAAATAGAGAAATAATTTATTAAGTTCATTCTTGTAATTATTAAGGCAGGATCTTTGTATGGTCCTGGAACACTACATATATATGTATTATGCCATTTTCAGAAGAATTGTAATGGCAATATGTGCCGATGTTTAAAAATGTTTTGCTACCTAACAGTCTGGAATGTTTAAAATTTTAGTGAATGGTAGAATATTAGAAATTATACTACATTTGGGTATACATTCTGAAAATCAGTGTTTGTTTTAAAGAGACTGATTCTGTAACCCATTCTTATTCCTAGTTACCTTACATGGAAAACTAAATTTGAACATTTTCATGTGTATAGCTGCCAAGTTCTAAACGAGACCAAATTAATTGTGGAAGTTTTCGGTCGATGGGTTGGCACTACAGTAATTTTCTGAATAATCTGGAAGATAAAGGTGTCTGCATTGATTTTTTTTTCCCCCCACCCCCCCTAGTTGCATTAATAAATTTATTCTAAACCTGATAATTTTCCTTATAAACTGTTGTTTTCCTTCCACTGCAGTGCTTATGTCCTATTTGATTCTGAAAAGTTATGAATAGTTATATTCAGGAATATTTGAAATGAGTCAATGCCACTTTTCTACTTCTGGCCTATCAGGCACATGTAGAAGTTAATTTTGTTTTTTGATGGATTTAATTTTTTTTCTAATTGATGGAGAATGGATTTTCAGCCAACAGTATTCTCTTCCATGTAGCAAGATTATTAATAATGCAGGGTATCTCTAATGTCCTTCCACACAAATACAGAAGGATGATATAAAACAAATGCCTTTTCATATTCTGACACTCGGAAATTATCCTTCCAAAAGACATTTTGGTGGTTTGGCAGTACAACCGCCAGACGAGATGAAATTCTTGATTTAGAAGGACTGATTAGCAGGAGCTAGAATTTAATGTAAAAATCTGCAAGTAGAGAGGGAAGGAAAAATGATATTGCACCTTTATCAAAATTTCCCTTCCAATTTTTAATATTGAATTACCTTCAGATTTCAGCGATCTGAGGTGTCTCTTGAAGATGAGATAGTACGTCTTTGGACACCTGAAATAGGAAGTAAAAAACACCAAAAAACCTACCAAACAAACAAGAAACACCCCCCCCCACCCCCCCCCAATCCCCAAACAAATAGGATTTTATTGCATTTACATAGGCGTTTTGAGAAATGTCACTTTTCAATTTCAAAACCCTACAAGCACAAGTGTTGAAGGGTTGAAAATGCAACTTAGTTCCTTAGTTATTTGGTTTGGGGATTATTTTTTTTTAAGGATTTTTTTTTCTTCTAAATTACGGCAAATCAGAGAATGTTAGGTTCAACTTTTTTCTGAGAAGTAATGTAATGTTAAAGCCTACTTGCAACAAAAAGTTAATGTCTGTTTTTAATTAATGATATGTTTCAATGAAATCATACTAAATATATAATACCAGACATTAACTACAACTTAGAATCAGTCAGGACTTGTGGCATCAGCAAACTAAGTCGGAGAAAACAGTTTGCTTTTGAATGGGCAATCACAGTATTTTTAGTGGAATATTCTAGTACCATTATTTGAAACTGGCCATACTGATAGAATTGGAGCAGTGTATAATGAGCAGTTGCTGTCCATATTTGTCCTTAGGTTCATGGCTTAAAGTGAAAGATCATCACAGTCTGCCATGTATATGAGTTCTGTTAACTTCCACTATCCATTAGTTGAGACATAGTAAGTAGTGTAATTACTAAGAAAATACTTGTCTGTCTCTGAGCCCAGGTAGGTTGAAGAATGTTGAGTGAAGTCAAAGTTAGGGCCTTTCTACTGTTTTTCTTGTTAACAAAAATGTGTTGTTTTTTTGTTGGTTGGTTGGTTGTTTTTTTATTATTATTTTTATTTAGGGTATTAAATATTCTAATAATGGAATCATGGCACGAGGTAGCTTGAGCTTTTGAATTAAATTACAGTTCTTTAAAGAGTAAGAAACAAAGGAAACTGTCCTTCCAGAAAGAATTTTTAAACAGTGGTGCCCCTGTAGTTACAAGAAATGTGTTACAGTTTTAATTACAGAAGCTATGACACATAACATTTATTCCTGCATTTAATAGAATGTGCTGAGTTTTTTTCTATAAAATCTTGTGACTTTTAGTACAAGAATATTTTAGAAATATAATGTCTAATTTGAAATGTAAATTTTGTCGCTCTCTAATGGGTGCTTGGTAAATTCACAAGAGATTTAGCTCTGATTCTCAGGTACCTCTGACATAATGGAGACGTGCTGGGTTTTTCTTTCTCATGACACAACTGGAATGTGAAGGAGCTCTCTTATAAATGCTTTATCTCTGTGTGCTAGCATAAATTATCCCTGCTCTTACTGTTTCAATTTGGCAGTGTCTTTATTCTGATTTATTTCTTGTAGGAAGCACATACAGTTTCAAAAAAAGTAATGAATTTTTATCTCCAGCATTTCTTGGAATGTCATTAGATGCTTAAGGAACAGTGATTTCCCATGCCTACAAAATGGAAAATGAATACTACATGTGTTGCGCTGTCAAACAGTTGAACTAATTCCTGTAATCTTACGAGACAACCAACAATTGCTTCTGTGTATGTGATTGAGGTTTTAGAACTGTTTGGGTTTTATATATGGAGGAAATGATGATTTGCCAAATGCCACATAGCATACCTTCACTTCTGGGGTTCTGGTGAGTCTTGCATAGTTACATACACTGTGTACTGCACTCCAGAACGAAGGGGAAAAAGGACTGCAGTTTTTCTGGGCATTTTCTGTCAGGTTTCAGTCATGCTGAAATTGTGTTCACTACAAGGTGCTGCTGTAGGTGTAATACTAATTCAGGGAAGAACTGAAATACATGTTATATCATATATCAGTACTTGACAATTACTTAAAATATGTGGCCCATGAATGCCACTGAAGACACTGAGGGCCTTATGTTTCTGTTGCCCAGTGTGCATTCCATCATGCTTGTTGGGTTTTTGCCTGTGGAAATCTGTGGGGGCTGTAGTATGTGGCTGATTTGGCTGTTTTTGGAGCTGGGCTGACGCAGACCGCACACTGAAACTCTAAAGCAGTGAGGCTAATAAGGCTAAGGTACTGCCTGGTTATCTGGCTGTGGTGTTGCTAATGTTTTTTGTGGAAATATGTTAAGCAGGGGTATTCTTCGAAGGATAAACCATGGTCCTGCATGTGATCCTTGATCTGGTATGATAGTATATGCATTACATACCTCCTTGTAATGAACTAACAGAAATAGGAGAGCCTGCAAAGTACTTTTCTTGGTGTGTGCTGTTTTAATTGTCATTCTCTTTCACAATACCCATTATGCCTAGGTACTGCTATTCACAACTACGATTGCTTTAAATAAGGTTGTAAAATGACTTCTTTGTAATTCTTGGCTCTATCTCTCTTTGTGTTGAATGTCGTCATTCCTATTCCCTACCAAAATATCATCCTATCTTAAGGAAATTGGCAAAACCTCCTATGTAAGTGAATGAGCTAAGCCAGGCTATCAGAGGAGGGGGAAAAAAAAAGTTAAACTTTAGACAATGGATGTGTTTATGAACACACTTTCAAATTTCAGATGAAAATGGGCCTCACTCAATAAGGCAGAGTATATTTCTGTGTTTCTAAATGAAGCTAAGAAGTGGCATACTCAAAAATCAAGAAACAAAACCTAATATTAGTATCACAATGTTCAGTTATACAGCAAAATGTAGAATGGTGCTTTTAATCAATTTTCTTTATTTGGGATAAGTTTTGAGTTAGTTACCATTTCTGTTGTGGCTGTCATATGTAGAGTGTGCAATTTAATAGTAGCATTTAAGTGGTGGTTCACAAACAGTTGTTATGCATGTTTGGTTGGTTTTGGTTTGGTGGCGGTTTTGGTTTGTTTTATTTTTTTTAATTCTTATTATTTTTGTCATTTTTCTATAAGATCCAGGTTTGCATTACTGCTGTATTTTGTTTTACATGAGCGTTGCAGGGCATGATTTCTCAGGGAGATACGGGTGATGCCATGTGTTGTGAGAGCTGATAACTAACTCCTGCTTATAACATTGTTACAAACATTTTCATGTTTCACTCAAGCATTTCCGTTTTGTAACTTTCATGTTGAATTCCTCTACACTTGCCAGGTGTGATGAGAATGTTAAGAGCATTTAAAGGACAATAAAATACACTCTGCCTAATCCTTCATTATTTGTTTGAACAGAAATCCATTCTAAACTGATGCTGCAATTTGGGTGTAGTTTTTACCTTATGGTACTGTGCACCATATAAATTAATAGTTAACACTGCTGATTTTGAAGCTGCACTTATGGCATGACAGTGACAGGACATTAACTTTCAAAGTTAGGCAATACAAATACATAATCTGATTCTGGGGTGAAGTACCAGTATAAATCTTATGTCACAAATGTATTTGTAAAAATTTAATGATATGAATGAAGTCTGTTCACTTTGGGGATTTTTGTTTGTTTTTCCAGTAAAGCTGCTTTGGCTAGACTGGGATTTGATCCAAAGCCCATGAGAGTCATAGACAGCATTAATAAAGTAAAACTTTTATCGAAAAGAAACTCCGCAGTCAGGTTGACCTTTATGCCTTTGCAGTGTTTCTGTCTGCAGAAAACATTTGAAGTGGTTTGCTTTAAGACTTCAGTAATATAAATTTGAGGGATTTTAATGCTGGTAAAATGGTAAGCATATTACTGTAAGTGGTCACAAAAATATTTCCCTATAGCCAGCATACAGCTTAATTATTTAGAAGGCAAATTTGTTTTCCTACATGACTTTTACTTGAAATCAGCAGTACAAGTAATGTTAACCACTTAGTTCTATACTTCTAGAAGAGCTTTTTGTCACTAGAACATCTGGTCATAGTCATTAGCCTTGAGGATCAACTTCCTCTTAGTGATTTCTGATTTGACATTTCCATTTCCATTCAGTTGTCAAAGCATGCAGTGGGGCATTTCCTTTCCTCTCTTGGTGTAAAGCTACTGTAATTGTATTTGGCTGCCCTAGTTCTCTGTATTGTTAGAAATCTAACATAAAACAGAGATCAGACACACAGACGAGCCTCTACTTGGTTACCTGTGTTCTCACTCTCCTCCGAAGTATTGCATTGTTATGTCCAGTACTGGTAGGTTACCAGACTTTTTCTGGAATGCCTCCTATGATATGAAACGCATCCACAATTTCATCTGGTTTCATATCCTGCTTTTAAAAAGCGTAAGAGCCTTTTCTCTGAGGATTTTTGTAGAAAGCAACTATTTAGTTCGCAAGTGCAGAGTTCTTTAGCTGCATCTCAGTCTATAAAGTTGCATCCAATGTTCTTTTTTAATAAACTTTCGAGTGTTTTGTCAGGGAAGGTGCACAAATTTTGTGTATGTTCCATAGAAGAAATATAACTGGATACTGGGATGGCCTCAGAAATAAAAATTCAGGGATGTTTCTATACTTTCTCACATGTTCCTGAAGTTTTTCTGCAAAAAAAAAATATATTTTTTTTTAAACCAGCCAAAACCAAATTCCATACTTAGCAAGCTGAGGAAATTGGCCATTTAGCATAGAAATAGTTT